GCTGCCTGGAGGGATCTCCTCCTCAACCACCCACCATTCTCCAGTGTCTTAGTCATCTAGTGCTGCTATAACAGAAATACCGTAAGTGGATGGCTTTAATGAACACAAATTTATTTTCTCACAGTTCAGAGGGCTAGAAGTCCAAATTCAGGGCGAGGCTCTAGGGTCTTTTGGCTCTGGGGGAAGGTCCTTGTCTCTTTTCAGCTTCTGTTCCTAGGTTCCTTGGTGATCATGTAGTGTGTTTCTTCCCCTCATTTGTGCTTGCTTGCTTGTTTGCTTCATCTGCTTTTTTATACCTCAGAAGAGAGTGATTTAAGACACACCCTACACTAATACTGCCTCATAGCATAATAAAGAAAACCCATTCCCAAATGGGATTATAACCACAGGTATAGGGGTTAGGATTTACAACACATATTTCTGGGGCACACAATTCAATCCATAACACCCAGTGTGAGCAAGATGTGGATCTGTCTAGCCCCTTAGGAGGGAGGGAGTTCCCCGGCACTGGCAGCATTCAACGATGGGCCCAGGGGGACCATGACTTAGAAATGTAAAAAATGGCTGAATTTGAAAGAAAGAAAGGAATGACCCCAGGTACCAAAGACAAAGAGAGAAATCAAAGCTGAGTGGTAGGAGGGAGCTGACACACTGGGGGTTTCAGACCTGGATAGAGGCACTGCAGCCTGGGCTCTAATACCCACAAGTGACATAAGACATGACCTCTGACCTGTAAGAGTTCGGAGAGCCAAAAATGAACCTCCTGAGTGCAGCCCAGGGCCTCAAAGAGCTACCATGTTCCTGAAAAGGGGATTAAAATACATCTCTGCCTAACAGCCTGAGAAAGTGGCAAGGAAGCTTGCCTAGATGGCCAGGGCCTTAGGTGGGAAAAAGTTACCCTAGAAAACCTGAAACTCCAACCAGGAGTGTGGTCTACCTCCATGGTGTGAAAAGCTGAAGAAATTGGAAAACTAAGAAGGAGGCAGGGGCAGTCTTTTAACCCAGGGCAGTAAAAATTTAAAAAAAATCCCGCCACCCCTGAAGATGAACTTGTTATTAAAAATTACAAATCACAAAAGGAAATAAACCACCATGAAGGAGACTCAGCAGATGCAGCAAACAGGAGAATTAGCACCCCAAAGTGTAAATAATAGAACAACCTGAAGAGACCATAAAATAAACGTAAAAAAATTTTGAGAAGAGATGCCAACAAGCAATAACAGGATAGCATGAAAAAAGAACAGGGGTATTTAAAAAAAGAGTCCAATAGAACTTATAGAAAGAAGAGATATAGCCAATGGAATGGAAAAAAAAAATCAATGGATAAGTTAAACAGCAGATTAGACACAATTTAAGAGAAATTTAATGAACAAGAAGCTATATCTGAGAAATCACCCAAAAATGTAGCACTGAGAGATAAAGAGTGGAGAATATTAAAAGGTAGTTAAAAGTCATTCGGAGTCTCAGAATATATGGACATGAGGCAATATTCAAAGAGATGATGGTGAAAATTTTCCAGAACTGAACAAAGACTTAAGTCCCCAGATTGAAGGAGCACATTGAAACCAGAGCAGGATAAATAAAAATAAGTCTATACCTAGATACATGCCAGTGAAACTTACAGAATACAACAAGAAAATCTTTTAAAAATTGAAAGGAAAGTCAAATTATTTGCAAAGAAACAACAATTAGACTTACCACAGACTTTTCACTGGCAGCGGTAGATGCCAGAAGAAATGGAATAAACTGGTCAAAGTGCAGAGGAAAAATAATTGTCAGTCAAGAAGCCTATACCCAGCTCAATCGTTATTCTTCAAGAATGATGGTGAAATATAGACCTTTTTCAGCAAACGCTGAAAAGGTTTCCCACCTGCACAACCTTGTTGAAGGGATGGGTTTGGCCAGAAGGAAATGGAATCCAGAAGGAAGGTAGGGTAGATGATAAATAATGGTTAGGAAACACATTGGTAAACATGTTGGTAGAGCTAAAATAACATTAACTGTAAAAAATTCATTTGGAGGAATTTAAAAACAAGGAAAACGAACAAAAAAACCCAAACCCGTTGCCAGCGGGTCGATTCCGACTTGTAGCCACCCCATCACAGGCAAAAATCAGGTAGGAGAGGGGAGAGGATGTTTTAGGCATGCTGACATTTTTTTGTTGTTGTTGTTGTTCTAGAGGATTTATTGATTAAATTTAGACTTGGTTAACCACTTAAGGGTAACCATTAATGTAACAGGAATGGAATGTTCCATTCAATAGTCAAATCAATAGAGGAGGAAAACCGGGAAATAAGGAATTCCTGATTAAGCCAATAGAAGGCAGAGAAAGAGAAAAAAAA